TTTTTAGCATGTTTTTTTCGGTCACAATTGTCCATTTTGCGTTTCATGTGCAAATTGGATAAAAGGAAAATTGCATCCCATCTTCGGGGGTGTATTTCCTGGGGGATATTTTGGCGTCCTTTTTTTTTTTTTTTTTTTTTTTTAAATGTGCACTTGGAGAATATGCCTTTTGACGGAGTATGCCACGCGGCCAGTGGGCAAGTGCTAAATTGCGCAAACGTTCTAACCGCGCATGCGCGCTATGTGCGAAATACGCTGCGCGGCGCACCTGGGAGGATGGGCAAAATTAAAAATGCTCTCGCACATTTTGTGCCCCCCTTTTGGTGTGAACTTTACACTTCAAACAATTTTGGCAACTAACCTATGCCGTTTTTTTTTTTTTATTTTTTATTTTTTTCCATGTTTTTTTCGTTTTATTTGTTGAATTTAAAAGGGTTGGATGTTTCCCCCACCCGGGTGCTTCTGCCCTATTTGTGTAGCACCGTATGTCGCGCGTCATTTGATAGGTGCTGAAACGATCTACTTGGGGAGCAGCTGGACACCATTATCCGTAGGCACATGATTAACCCAACCATTGTGTAACCCTACACATTTACTGACCATTTTTAGCGTAACACCCTCCCCCCCTGTGTGTACACATTGTAATTCCAACGCAAGCCACAGCGTAGTTTGGGCTAAATTAATTTGTCTCAAACAGGATGCGGTATGTTGTTAGACATTCTGTGGTGGAGTGCATTCCTTTTTTTAAATGTGCAACAATGGCCTCCCCATGCGTACACACACATATGTATGAAGGTACCAACCTGATTTCGCCACACGTGTTTGAATTATCCTGAGCAACAACACGTACATGCGTAGGGGGGGGGAAAATATTATGACACCGTGTCGTTATTACATGCGGGTGCACAAGACGTCTTATTTGGACCACTGTAATATAGGTGGATGCAACGCGGGCAGGATATTAAGTATCCCCTTGGCTATACTCCACTCGGCTGCACTCCCCTTGTGGTGCCCCAAAAAACGCTTCTGTCCACCAACAAGATGTCACGATGAAGAAGAATAAGAAAAAGTGTATAGGACTCAGCAACTGCTCCTTCGAGCAGTTTAAAGGTAACCACTTGTTGATCTGTTTGACGCCTCCGTCTTTAGGAGGGGTAGAGAAGCGGTCCGTTTAAGCGGTGTGCGAACCAGCGTTCCTTCCGCAGTTGGCGTTTTTGTGAACCATGCACATACACTGCACATGGTGTAGTGCAGTGTAATCCTCGTTGCGTATTCCCCCTCGTTTTATACCCTGTTTGACATTCACCTATTGCTCCCCCCCCCCCCCAACCGCTTAACACTTCCTAGAGGGAATCGACTTCCTAAAGCAGACGGACGCAATTCTGGACGACGACATATTTCCCATTCTGAAAAGGGTCTGTTCCTACCTCTTCTTCTGTGTCAAGCATGACAACTTTGAGTTTGTAAAAAGTTACGACGGTGGCGAAGGGGCAGGTAAAGCGAAAGGTATATCAGAAGCACAAGCGGGACAAGGTATATTAGAAGGACAGCCCGCAGCATCCGCGGCGGGGGCAATGGCCTCCTGCGGGAATGCCCCCCCCACCACCGAAAATGACACGACGCTAAACTACGTATTTAAAGACGAAGATTTCATAATAGTAAAAAACATAAACAGGCTGCTGCTTAACAAACTAATAGAAAACTACGTTGGCTACTCCTGGCTGTGTCTAACCGTCACGGAATACCTGAACGACCTGGATTATTTTATGAACAAGCAAGGGAAAAATGACAAAGAGGGACAAAAAAAGGAAATAAATGCAAGGAAAAAAGTTTATAAGTTGGTGAAGAAATTTACTCAAGTGAAGAACATACACGAATTGCAGAATTGTCAACGGGGACAAGTACATGAAGACGGAAAAAAAGCCATACAAAAGTTAGAAGCGAAAAATAAATATATTAACTACCTCTTTTGCTATTATAACAATTACTTCCTTTCGTCAAATGTGACAAATGGGGAAAACGCCCAGGGGGAAGATGTTATAGTACTGGACCATGTTGATCACGCTCATCAGTGGATATACACCGATGACGAGGATCCTAGCGCAGGCTGTTCAGAGAAGAGGGAAAAACATGTGCATCGGGAGCACCAGGACAATCGAGTGAAGCGCGCTAGAACGAGCAGCGCGGAGTCTTCCCCAACGAAGCGCAATGCTCACTTAAAGCGGAGGCGCAAATGTTACGGTGTAAAAGATGTGGACATGGACCATGGGGAGGGGAGTTATACAAATTGGGATGACCCCTTCCATGAGCAGATTGAAATATCCCCCGGGAAGGAAGATTTTGTTTATTATGAGGGAACATGTGACATAAGTGAGGAGGACCAAGGACGTTCAGGGAAGCGAAAAAGAACACGCGAAGAGAAGCGCCAAAAACGCCGCTTACAGAGACGCCTAGAACGACGCCAGAAGGGGAAAAAGGCGCCCCGAGAGAAGAACACCCTGCAGCACCTGTACAAAGCGCTGTGTGACTTCCTATCAACCAAATACGAAACAAGCAAGTTGCTAAAATTCATGGACGAGTACAGAGACATGTACGCTTGGAAGCCCCCCCCTTTTTACTGGACGGTACTCAGTAGCAAGTATGTGGTGAAGGAGATACTAAAGCTGTATGAGGACAGGTACCTAGACCCCTTCCTGTCCTGCCTTTATGAAGATTACGTTAATAAATACTATTTTGACGATGAGGAAAACAGCAACATAGCAACCTACACGAGTAACTTCAATGTATTCACTCTTCGAATAAGTGAGGAAATTCAAAGATTTCTTATTTTGGAAGAACCCGAAGAAGAAGAAGCAGTGTTGAAAATATGCAAAAATATATGTGTGAGTGAAAATTCTTACATCTATGCTCAGATGATCCTTGAATATATGTACAGAAACAACAACGACAATAGTATGAGGAGACTGTCTCAATATTTGTCTCTGTACATTTTATATAAGGATATTAATCTGCATAAGATTTGTAACAATTACTTTGCACAGGTGGTAGAGAATCAAGTCAGTATAACCTTTTTAACCTTTAGGATTAATAATTTAAACAACTACAGCACTTTATATAGCACCTTCAGAAATATATACATGACCAGGAATAAGGGTTGCATGGAAATAAGCCAATCTGATATTGTGAGTCTACATGATGCTATAGTTAGCGTCTTGAAAATCTTTAATGGGAACAAGTTGCTCTTGTTTGATTCGACCTACTTGTTTTCATCCCATGCGGGGAGGAACCGCTTAGGAGGAAGAGCAACTAGTGAGAGCGGTGATATATATGAGGGCAGTACCAATTTGAAGCGACAGATTAGTCATTCTGAGGAAGGCGAGGAGCACTCCTTCCATTTCCACCACCGAGAAGAAGATACAGATTTTAATTCGAACTTTTCTAACATCAATAGGAGTAACCTGGAGGAGGCGTGCAGGCGTGGGGACGTACTTCTTACTGAGCACGCAGATGACGACGCCTCTTCTTCAGAGCCATCTCTTCCAAGTAGTCCATCCGAGACAGAAGAGCCCGCTTTTGAAAAAGGAGACGACATTTACAACCCAAGTGAAGATATCCCTGCAACAGGAGAAAACTCTTTTGGAGCAAATAGCCTCTTTGGAAGCAGTCTAGACCTTGGTCAAAAGGAAAAAAGGAACGGAGCCGATGGTGGAAGTGCCGAAATGAATGACCGCCAAACGAATGTGTCTAATCGCAGTAGCAAAAATTTGAGCAACGAAGTTTATAGCTCGATCAAATCGGAAGATTTTGCATCAAATGTGCACTCGGAGAATAACGAAATGCATGTAAATTCAGGCAGGTCCAAAAACACAGCTAGCGTATTGATCCTTCCATCAGCGTCTCAATATGGTAACGAAGATTTTAATTACCACAAAGAGTTCTTAAGGATAAATATTTATGCTGAAAAAATTCCTCTTGTTCACATGAGAGACATTGTCTTCCTCAACAATGCAATAAACATATACGTCTCCAACAGTGAGCTTTTTTTCAACAACATGTATAAACTGTATGGAAAGGTGCTCATTTTTCTAACTACCTACTCTCCCTACGAGTATGTGTACAATCACTACTACGCTTCGTTGTTTAAGCGGCGCGGGCACGGCTCTTCTAGGAAGTACTCCGCGGCCTACTTTAGCGTGTACGACGACGCGGTTTCGGCGCTGGACGGCGTCGAGGGGGACAGTGATGATGAGGAGGTGGACGAGCCATATGATCAACATGAGGAGCAATGTGAGCAGCAACCGCGTGATGACCTATGCAGGGCACCCGAGGCGGACGCCCCATCGGAAGTAAGCCTCGCCCCAGGCCTCAGCGCAGCAGGAAAATTCACGGGCAAGAGGACGTACGAACAGTTTTTCCAAGTGAAAAAAGAACCCGCAGAGATAAAGTCGATACTGAAGAGGCGCAGCAGCTACGCTGGGGGCGGAAGTGAAGTGCGGGGGGGGAACAGGCTCACCGATTTTGACAAACATGTCATTGGAGACGCGGCTGATGAGGCATCTGCTAAGGAAGAAGCGCCGGTTGAGCAGGACAATTTAACTGCTTCAGAGTCGGTAGAGAGATCAACAGAGGTGGATCTGAAGACACCTCCCCCGAATGAGGCAGTCCAAAAGGGCAGTGATGCAAATGTCTTATCTGCTGGTGACCCACTGCCAGGTACAAGCGAAGCCGAGCCAACAACGCACCCAGTGGAGGAGGCTCCCGCAAGCGATACTTTCCCTCCTCAACGTTGTGACACACACAACTACACTTCAAGCAACATTGCCGATGATATGCTCGAATTGAGAACCGAAGTGATGTCGTGCGATGAAGTAAGAAGCAGCATTTTTAAAAACGTTAAGAGTAAAAAAAAATTGAAAATAAATGCAACAAGTAAAAAAAAAAAATATTATTTTTACAAACTGTTTCACAAATTTAGATTAACATATAACACTTTTTTAAAATACACTCAAAACGAAATATATCAAATATACCAGATCATGCACGGGAACTACTCGGACGCAACTAAAGACAAACTTCTACTGGCCCGAGTGAACAGCAACTTAGCAGCGTCTCTCATTTATAGATATGTATACACGAAGGTATATGAGCTTGTGAATACTTCGCGCGTGAATTTGGTGTACCCCAAGTTTATTTTGCTCAAGTACATCGTCGACATGTACCCTCAGAAGCGGCACCTCGCGCTGCACTTTTTGAAGTAAGCCAAGGGGGTGCGATAGGCGGTGGGGAAGTGCCTGCTCGACTCGCATAGTTAACAGGCGCTTCTCCGCCGTCTATACTATTTATGCCGTTTATACCGTTTACGCTGTCTTCCGCATGTTTTTTTCAATTTCCTCGTGCATCCTCACCCGCAGGGAGCTGTACACGTACATAATTGAGAAGGAGGAATCCCTGGAGGAGTTCGTGGAGCTGCGGGAAAACCTAATTCTGTTCTTCGTGTATTTGGTGCGCTTCGAAAATATGTTTTGCTATGTAGTCAGCGTCATCAAGTCGATGGTAAGCGTCTTCGTCTTGGCACTTATAAGATTGTAGAAGGTCATAACATTGGGGGCTAGTGTGTCATCTGCTGCTGTGTGTATATGTGTCGACATGTTTGCCAGCGTATCGGAGGAGCCCTTTTTATAATATTATGTCCGTTTTTTTTTGCCGCCTCTTTAGGTTAACCTGTTGGATAAGGCCTTCATCAGGCTGTTTATCATCAAGACACTGACCTTTTGCGCGCCCCCATACGACTTTAAGTTTTGCGAGTGCCTACTGAACTTTATACACTTTGTCCTGAACAAAGGTACATTTGTGTGGAGGGCGCAAAATGGGAGCATATCGGCGTGGTGGAAAAACCACTAAGCTTCTTAGCTCAGCAACTGCGCTCCGTCTTGTGAAACATGTGAGTCGCCCCCCTCCCCTTCCGCAGAGGGCGTCTACTACAAGAACGAGTTCAAAAGAGCCATACACAAATTGCTGGACAACGTTATGGAAATGCACCAAATGTACCAAAGTTCGAAGACGAAGGAGGTATGGAAGTGTGTTGCATCGGGCACCTTTCGTTATGCGAAGGTCTTTGTGCACGGTGCATACCTGCTGCTCGTTTGTGTACTGCCCTACTTTTGCGATCTGTCCGTTCCCACGTCATCCCTCTGTCTATGTCACCCCTCCCTCTGCAGCTTGCCATCCTGTGTACCCACATCAAGGAGCAGATAAAGCAGGCAGAAATGGACCCAACTGTGCGCTGATTTGGCACTCTTGACTGGAGGCGTGTCGCTCATCCATTCACTCCTTTTTTTAATTTTTTTTTTTTGTGTACCTTCCTTGCTCGTTTTTTATTTTTAATTAACTCAAAATATTAACCCCACATGTGTTTTGTCAGTCCCGTGTGGGGGCAATTTCCTCCACCACCACCACCCAGGTGCATATGTTCTCTTCCTCATACTTATCATCTCCTTTTTTTGATGACCGCATTTTTTTTTTTTTTTTTAATTCTGATGTGTTTGCAGTGTGTAGCATGAACCGCCTTGGTTTGTGGCTCCGTCGAATTGTTTTTATTTGCGCAGTGATGTGCATGTTTCGAGTAGCCACCAAGACCCTCCTCTCACAAACCGTGTGTTTTGTCTTCCACCCGTTCCAGTGGACCATTTTTCGCTTACGTGAAAAAGACCTATTTGACTGCTTACATTTGTTCATATTTTTTTTTGTTCAATTTTTTTTTTTTTTACATAATTAAGCATACAAATTGTTGCAAATATGATCACTTCTTTTTGCTTCTGCTTTGTTTTTGTGAAACTGTTGAGACATTTATTTGTCATTTAAAAAAGAATAGCGCTTTGATCATTTCTCTCAGTTTTTATGTGAAATATATTTGTATGTAAACATATGGCTTGCTGTTTGAATGGTCGACAAGCGAACAAAAACAAAAAAAAAAAAAAAAAAAAAATGTCGTCATAACGGACAGGAGTCATAAATTGTTGTCAGCAAAATGGTGGAGCGGCAGGTGGGGGCACCATTTCCTGGTCACCTCCTGCTCTGCCATTTGGACAGGTTCGAGATAAAACGTTGGCCGTTTTCGCCATCCGTGGATTTCTTCCTTTCTTGGTGGGCGCGACTGAAGTGGTTTCGTCGGCTGTTTAAGCGGTCGTGTAAGCGGTTGTCTGAGCCATCGTCCACGCCGCTGCTCTGGAAGTAACCATTGTGAAAGTGGCCACTCTGAACGTAGCCGCTCCCGAAGTTGCCTCCCTCAGCGGGGATCCCTGCATGGGCTCCCGTCCCAGGGTAGTCATTACTACGAATGGATGTGAAATTCGGGTAGGCACCTATATCACCGTTGTTGCAACTACCACGGTCAAAATTCTCCTTCTTCATCACCCGGCTTTTACAAAAATTGTGCTCCTCGCCATGCAAAGGGATGCCAGGTTCCATTCTCTGTCCACACGGAGGACTCATCGTGTGTGTCACATTGGGCTGTTTATTATTTTTGTTTTCCTTTTCAATCGATTTTTTAATTTCCTCAATTTCGTTAATAAAGGATTGTCTTTTCTGATTTAACGCGGCAGTCTCGCTGGGCGTCCTGGAGTACTTTTTATCATCCGAGGAATCTTCAAAAATGTTATTAAGAATCTGTTCCTGCGTGGGGGATTCTGCATTCTTAGTTGGGTTGCCCACTGATGTGTGTCTGCTTGGCAGGCTTAAGCGTCTCGCGTTGAAGTCAGCCCCGCTGGAAGAGGGGCCACACAATTGGCTCATCCCCTTTGTCACTACTACCTGCCTCGATGCGTCACTTTGCGCGTTTGGATTCCCCACCTCCCTGTATGCGTCTCCCGTGGTGGCAGTAAAACTGGGGGTCTCGTCATTTCTATTGCGGGGTTTTTCTTCTTGTACTGCCCACCCCCTGAAGCACTTGCCATAGTGAATGAGATCTTCATAGGGCTGATTAAAATGGTGAGAGGCTTTATTCAGTTGGGGGTAAAATGTGTCACCTTCCCCATTTTGCACATTTGCATTTGTTCCTTCATTTTTGACATCACTATGGATATAAGGGGATCTTCCTGCGTGTACAGGATAAAAGGTTAGTAAATCGAGTTGTTTTTTTTCTTCTCTGTCCTCGGTGACATTTTCATTTTTTTTTTTATTCGTATATGTTAATGTAGTATCTAATTGGGGGAAAAGACTTGCAGAGCGGGAGTCTGCATTATGTTCACCTTTGCCAACCGTGCACTTGTACTTCATGTAACTCATCTCGTTGGTTGCTCCGACTCCCTCCCCAGAAACGTTGCAGCTACCCGTCCCAGTCACGTGCTTGTAAGATCCATTGTTCATTTCATCCATTTTAGGTTGCCAATATTTCGAGGACAGAAACGCATCACTGTTATCATTCGTTTGGGAAAGATACGGAGCTGCATCTGTTGCTCTCTCCTTTGCAGGGTAGTCCATTTCGATGAAGGGTCCCTTATGTGGTGTCTTCCACTCAGCCATATTATTCGTCATGTTGGAATTCACCACTCGCATGTCTTGACGCGCGTCCCAGTGTGTATCTCCCATTATGCTATCCACATTTCCTTTGTAGGCATTTTCAGAATCAGCCTTTTGAGCCCCTTCCATTGTGGGAACCATGCCTCTCGTCTGATAATCAAATATATGCGGAAGGAAATTTTTGCAAAAATATTTTTTAAAATCTTCTTCCGATGGGGTGAACTTGTGTCCGTTGTGGAAGCCACCCATTTGTTCTTCATGCAGAAAATGTATTCCGCTAGGTGCACCATTCGGATGAGTGTCAATCTGGTCTCCAACATTTGTTTGTGCCTCATTCGTGTTCCTATACGCAGTAGAGGGGTCACTGCAAAAAAGGGTTGCTTCCTCCCGCTGCTCATACGTAAATAACGTATCCAACGCAGCTAGCTTTTTTGCGCTGTTGTGGATGGAGCGCACAAAAGAACTCTTTACTTGGTCTATTTCGCCTGTTATATTTTTGTCAATTTTATTGGCCTGTTCTAAACTGAGAAATTGATCCACGTTGTGGTGGTCCTTCAAAATCGGGTCATAATTAGGTGTCCTATTTTGGGTACAGATGTTGCTCTTGCTTCCAGCCCCAATGAGATAGGAGGGCCCTTCTTCGTGCAAAGCGTTGTAGTTTGTACTCGTCCCAATTGTATCTTTCCTGTCTGGACTGTTAGGGTCACTTTGGGGGAGCCCTCCCCCTGTCCCTACATTCACATTCTCTTCCTTGGGGAACAAGCTGAAGCCTCCTTCTTCAAAAGGGTTGTAGCCGTAGCTTCTGAACGGGTCATAATTTTTCTCAGCACAGGCGTTATCATTATTTAAGCCATAGGGGGACAAAAACAATTGGCTTTCAGTTTCCTCCAAAACATCACATTTTTTATCATTCCGATCGGCGTCATCGTCGAGCGAATCATTCCTGTTCACTTTGTTCATGTGATAGTTATTTTCGTAAATGTGCAAGAGCAAGTTTCTGGTGGGATCCGTGCTGCAGCTATTTTCTTCGTTTCCCAGGCCCTGTTTTTTTTTCTTTTCTTGCTTCTCTAAATTGAGTAGAAGTTCGTTGAAGTCATTTATTTTGTTTATGTCTGTGCAGATTGGGATGAGCTCCGTTTGCTCGCCGACTGGGTTGCAGGGCATGGGGGCCATGTTCGCGTCTGCATGGGAGAGGTGCGCCGCGTCTGTCTCCTTATATGCTGCCCCATCTGCCTTCTTACATGCTTCCCCCCCCGTGGTGCTGAGAATAAAGCCCAACGTTTTCCTCCTGAGGGATTTTCCAACCTCGTCGTTGCCCCTCCAGACAGGGGCAGAATCAAAAAGTGGGATGATATCGTTAGAAGGGCCCATCAAAAGTAAGTTGCGTTCCTTAGGAGGTATCTCCTCTCCCTTTGGAAGGAACTGAACATCTCCACGATGATGAGAGTCACTGTGATCATAAGGACACATGCCACCTTCATCGATGGATTGAAAATTGGGGACCCCTTCATATTCGGCCAGGATAGGATCCCCAGTAGTGAGGCAATTTTTATTTTGTGAATAAAACGTATAACATTTGACTCTACATGAACAGGAAGCAATTCCATTGTAAACCATGTTCCTTTTAATTTTCCTCAAAATATTGTGGCAGTGATTATACAATTCGATGTGACTTATAATTTTGGACAAGCTCAGACAGACGTATTTACACCTCAGGCAGTTAAAATATTTTCCCTTCTTCAGAGCGTTCAGTTGTTTTATTTGGTGGTTCTCACTCAACACGTGATTTGAAAATGAATGCACACAAGTGAATACCAATAGGCATGTGTTACATCTGTATACGAAAATTTTGTCATTTATGAGTTCATAATAATTTGCTCTTTTCTCTTCTTTTTCGTCCTCTTCGACTTTTGAACTTTCCAGACTTTTGTTGCCTCTCCATTGGAGGGCATCTGACCACTCGTGGCTCATTGGATCCAACTTGCTTCTAAATAAAAAGGAAGGACATGTATAGAAGCTTGTAAAACGTGTAACTTCGAAAACCTTCTTTGTCTACACATTCGATACACGCTGTACTGGGACGCCTAATGGCATATTTTCTTTTCAAAAAAAGAGGAAATAAAAAAAGGGGCACATATAAGTGGACACTTCCATACACACGCACACCCCATGTAGGGACAAACAGGCTCACACAGAAGGAATTGAAATTTGACAAAATTGGGTAGGATAAATGAAAAGAATGAAAAATCACATCAGACAACCGCATTCCCCCTTAACCGCTTAAATTACGTCTGCATTTTTCTTTGCAGCGGTAAGTCTGCCTTCTACTCAAGCGTTCGATTCGCATTTTCGCACACACCTTTTTGTTTGCCTTAAAAAAGGTACACTTCTCAAAAAAAAAAAAATTTTAAAGGGTAAGACATCAAGGCTAAAATTTATCACTATGCTAAAAGGAACGATTCCAATTTTGAATGTTCGGTTGATTGCAAACAAGGCAGATGTGCCTTAAATACACTTCGAGCAAATACACATATGTACATATAAGGACAGACAGAGGTATACGTTCCCATGATCGACTTCCAGATGGTGGGAAAAATATTCGCACATCCAAGTTAAGGAACAACGAGAGGGGGGAAAAATAGCTTACGCAGTTGTATGCAGGAAAAATGGCACACTTGGTGTTCTTATATTTATTTATGTACGTGTGTGCGTACTGGGGTGTGAGCCAGGAAGGGTTAAACAGGAAAAAACGCAAGCCACAAATCGGTTATGTCGTGAGAACGTGTTGCGAGCCCCTTTGGGTTCTTTTTTTGGCACTGCGGATGTTCAGGGCGGGTCTGCACATGCAGCAGGTTTTAAAATGTCAAGTGGACAAGTCGCTCAACATTTTGCGATTAATTTATTTCGCCCTGTCCTCCGTTCCTATCGTTGCCTTTATTGTTCACGAGCATGCAACATCGGAAGGAAAAGAAAAAAAAAAAAAACACCACACAACAGAGCGAAACAGATTTTTCCGCACATTACGACCGCCGCATCTGACATGCATACGTGTAGAGAAAAAAAAAAACAAAAAACACACAGTTGAACATAACCGAGAGGGACATTAACCTAAAGGGAACATACAAGTACAGCTTAAAGTGGTCATTTAATTTAGACGCGTAGCTTTTTTTTTTTTTTTCGTCTTTCTTGTTCGCCTCCTCCCACAATTCAAATTGCCGAAAAAGGAAGGATAGAAGGAAGGAAGAAAGCTGAATGGGTATCTAGGGATCAGCAGAAACCACATGCGAATATACACACAAACGCATGCACATGAAGAATATTTTTGCACACGTTGGGATGGATATGCTTCATCCCCCCCTTGATAAGTGAACACCATGTTGCCCATAAAAATATTTGTACAAGTCTTCATACGTTATGATGGACAGACCTGTTTAAGGGGCCCAAAGTTCGAACGACGGTAATTTGCTCTCGCCGGGGTTTGTGCGTATATGTGGGGGAAAACTAACAGTTGGGTTTGAAACCCACCACTCTTTGGTACATCCTGCACTATTGTTCCGAGCTGCTACACCCCTTAAGGGAAATTGCAAAGAGAATTCAAACGCCGCAACAATGAAGTTGGTGAAATATGCACACACATATAATAAAAAATTTAAAATTAATAATTTAAATTAACAACAACAAAAAAAAAAAAAAAATGACACCATCGTCCGGACTTACGCCCGTGTGCGGATGCTTATGGTATAAATATGCCAAATGGGGATATGAAAGGAGAGACAATGCGTTGATATTTAAAATGAGAGTGCTGGATACACAGCGACAAACAAAACAAATATGCGGGGAGGGAACCACCCATGGAGAGATGCGCACTGCGCACAACAAAACACATCACACAGTCAGTAGTTAAAGTAGTGGTAAGTGGAAAGAAGGATGGCGCAGGTGGGGACAATTTTTACCAGTCTTGGACAAATGCCAATGTAAAACCCCCGCAGTCCGTTCTTCTTAAAAATAACTTTCGCAACAGAAAAAACGTTGTAATTATAATTGTTCGTCAACTTGAAATAGTTATAATATTTGTAGCTATAAGTGTTCGAGCCATATTTTCCAGAGCCATATTTATAATGTATGGTACGGTGATCATTTTGTGCGTAACTATTTACCTTAACATCGTACAGGTGTTTATTATTGTATAAATTACTTTGACAAATGTTGTATAAGCTGCCGGCTCGGTTCCTTGCGGGGGAGTCATAATTTTTAATCTTCCTATGGTCAAAATCGCTCTTGTGAATAATGTCAATACATCTTGCTTGCATGTTGGTTTTTATAATATCCAGTGGATGAGTTATAAACGTGGTTATGGTGCTACTTAAGCATCCACATATAAATGGGTATACAAATTTTTTTATAATTTTTTTTCTTTTTTCATATTCTGAGTCCACTTTTTTTATGTAGCTAACTAAGTACTCGTTAAGGGACCAGTAGATCGCAGAGAAGGGAATGTCCCTAATAAGTGTGGACGTAATTCCTTTGTAAAAATTTATTTTTATTTTTCTGTTTTTCTTATCCTTTAAAATGTCCAAGATGCTAACTTTGTTATTGTTGCAAACGTTCGCCTGAACATTTGTTCGGTATAATTCCAACGGCGATGTTATGATGATGGAGATGAATCGCGAGATCGTTGCACACAGGTAGTATGGAATTCCCTTATCCTTTAGCTCTTCGTACACGTAAAAGAACAAACTGTTGTTTATTATGTACATATTCGCGGTGGAAAGGAGGCCTGTCGGGGGGAAGGGGAAGCGAAACGGTTAAAGAAAGGAGCGGGGATGATACACGATTGTGTGTGCGTGTACGTATGTATGTACATATATATACATATATATAATGTTAGCCGCACAACAAGGTTCCCAAAAACGAGTGACAAAATTCGCCACACTGGGGGCGCTCGGCTTACCCCTATAGATGGCCCTAATTCCATAGTTGTTGTAAATGTTTTTGAACGTCTGGTAGTAAAGGGAGTTAAACTTCAGCAGCCTCTTTTTGTTCTTCTTGGTAATTTTCTTTAAAATGTACTTCTTGTCGAAATTTATGTTGCTGTTATACTGAATGTAATTTTTTATTACGTCCAAGGGGGTGCATATGAGACTGACAAAAATGCCTACATCGGGGAGGGGGGGGAAAAAATGCATAAAAATCGAACCAACTTTTATGTATCTCCTTAATAAGGAAAAAGGAGTTAGAACAAGATTAGCATTTGTCTACTTTATACTTACTTGATATTGTGCTACTGTATATTATGTTCTGAACATTTATGTTTCTTTTTTCCATTTTGTACTCGTTAAATTGGTTAGCTAGCTATTTTTTTTTTTTTTTTTTCTACAGTTTCGCCTGATTTGTGCATGTAAAGGTGGTAATTTTTTTTTTTTTTTATATTATTGCTAGTTAGCTGAAAAATGTAAGTTCTCTTTTTTGCTTAATCCTGACATTTTTTGTTTGGTCCTGATGTAAGTTCAAACTGTATACTTGTCTAACTTGGTTCGTTTTGCACATTTGGGTTGGGGTTTCAAACGATGATGCGTGTATTTCAAGTGTGGGGGACATATGGCACAACGTGAAACACATATTTTGTTGTGTTTCCATATAGAAGGCGACCACACACGCAAATTAACTAGTGGCGAACGGGGACACAACGAATAAAATAAAGCAAAAGAGTTGATGGAACTAACATTCGTGAGTTAGTCTCACACGGATGTGCACAAATTGGTACTTTTTTTATTGGACAAGCGCGTACCGGGAGAAAACAAATAGAGCGGAGTAAATATAAATGTACGTTGTGCTGTGCATAGACGCAGGCATACGTGCATAACAATCAATCAAGAGGAAAACACGCGCAGGTGACAGGCACGGTCACTAACTCAGTGTCTATTAAATGTACATGCATGCAGTTAAAGCAACGTTTCTTCAAGGCGTGGGTGTAAGCGTTATGTATTAGGACAAAAAGTTCCAATTTTATATTTTGCCTACTGAGTAACTATGGTCCTGTACTCTGAGGACAGGCGGCAGGACGCGCCTAAAAGCACGTGTGTCACAAAAGTGTAAGCTCCTTTGCGCATCCGTATAACACATCCGTATATGTTTCGTTCCTTATGCAATGTAAACTTTTTCCATTCGAAAAGAGCGAGAGATACACCGATGTGTTATGCGTATGCGCAGCTTAAAAGTGACCAAGGGTTGCTCTACCCATTTGACAAACAAACGTGTAATAATGTTACAATGTACTTGTGCATAACCAAATAGTTACATGAGGCAGATAGTGAAAAAAAAAAAAAAAAAGGAGTAGTAATATATTCATATGAGAAAGGTATACATTTGTCAACACTTCATCCCAACGGGGTTGATACAATTACTAACGAAGGATGCACACGAGCATACCTTGGCAAACTCTATGGGTATGCAAACACTCTTGTATGATTATCTACATGGGAGGCCAAAACCATTAAACTTTCACAGCACAAGGAAGCGCACATGTTTAATAGCAGGAATAGGTTTCGCGTTTAAGCCTCTTGGATGTTTGTGCACGTGAAAGGGTTGTACTCTGGCAAATCACAAAATTAAAGAAGCTTGGTCGCGCATACGAAACGTAAGCACGCAAACGGGTACACAGCGTAGGCAACTATGTTGTACAGTGTATAGAGCTGAACAAAAAATGCAGGTTCAAATTTGTGAACAGGGGGCGGGCAGAGAAATGAAAAAAAAAAAAAAAAGGAAAAGAAACGAATGCAGGAGCGCTGACGGGAGTTTTATCTCTACGGTTGTTTACGCGTCGCGGTGATTTGTTTCTCCTCTTTGCACAGTCGGCAGATTTTGGCGTTCTTTTTTTATTGACATTTTACTAACATTTTTTTGGTGTTTTTTTTTGTTTTTTTTTTTTTCTCTAGTTATGCACAACCCTAAGCTAGTCGCGGCGCAGCTGAAACATATACGTTAAAATTAATGTGGCGGGCTTGCGGCAAAATTTGTACACTAGTCGCCGCAATTGTTTGGACGCAAAAGGGCGATTAAAGAAATTGCCCTTCTGTAGTGCAGCTTAGCGCAACTGGTTGGAATTTAGCCAAATGTCAGGTGAGGTAGCTTTTTTTTTTTTTTTTTTTTTTTTTTTGCAACACTCTGATAATGTGCGCAGAGTAACTGAAAGGTGTGACATGTTCGACTGAACGACCCTTTTACGTGCCCAAAGGAAATATTGCACAGGAAACCTGTTGCTGACACAGTTTCGTAAAAGAGTGAAGCACTTTTCCTGACTACAGTTTGTTCATGATACGTGTGACTCGAACAGTGCAATTGCGCCCCTTTAGAGGTCGCCAAACCGGACAGTGCTATAGTTTGTGCCAGTTTTCCTTACCGCCAAGCGCGCAGTGTGAGGCCACGTCTGAGATGTAGCCAACGGATAGTGCACTTTTATACCGAGCTTGGTTGACTCTACATATGCAATGAGGAGACAGCTGTTTGATGAAACAGAGCCTTAGCGTAGTGACCTTACCTAGAAGTGAATGTGCACACATACACATATATACAAAAACAGATACCCCCCCAAAATGAACCTAAACCTGAGGAGGAACATTAAGCCCATATGCCACATTAAGAATATTTTTTTCAGACGGGAAAAAGGTGTGGAGGACAAAGCATGGTGGAAAATAATACCCCTTGGAGCTGGTGATGTATATAAGCAAAGGCAGGTGATACATTGTTTGCCCCATTTTTACAATGAGTCTTCTGTAACTCCCATTCGAAAGAGTGAAGACATGGGTGCGTACCAAATGAGAAGGGACAGGGGAGGCACGGTGCGAAAGAAATTGAGCCGAGAGAAGAAGAAAACGCAGAAGAAGCAGAAGAAGGAAAAGTCGGCCGATGTGCACAAGTAGGGGTGCACACAAAGGGGTGTGTAGTAACACGTGTTCGGGTGTACAGGAGAGTAATGCCTAACGGATAACATTGGAGTTATAACTACACGAACGTAAGGCCGGCACAGGAAATGGCACTGCTTTAAAATGGGTCTCACACCCTCTTGTGTTGACCCTCTTTTTTTCTTTCTTTCTTTCTTTCTTTTTTTTTTTTTTTCGTATTAAATTAACTTTTAACCGACGGAGACAGTTCACCCGTAGGTGTATTGTACATACGAATTGGTTAATCTGCCATTTGAGTAATTTTTACGTCTAGTTGAAGAAGCCGATCTGGCTGTTCAGAGTTGGTGTGTTTTTGTGCAGGGGATTTCCTCCACAAAGGCGTAAAATAAAAATGAGAAAAAAAAAAAAGCAAACAAACGTAAAGTTACGCAAAGATGCGCACAGATACGCAAAAGGGATGGAAAACAAATTTTACGAAACAGTTTACCCGTGCTGGAAGCACAGGGCAGAACACTTCAACGGCGTAAGGGAGGACCCACTGTGAAGCGGCATAATTGAGGGAAGCACATTCCTCCCCTCAAAAAAAAAAAAAAAAAAACTGTGCCACGGGTGTAGAGACTGCTGAATTATATTTCTCTATTTTGACACATGGGAAAAAAAAAGGCACGGCATTTTCGCGTGAAGGGAAAAGGTGGTATCGTTTAGGGAATGGGTGTGGGGGGGTGGAAAAGCGTTTACTCATTCAAGCGATCAAACAACAGTACAATCTTGTACGTATAAAATAACCACTACATATGAGTACGCACGTAGAGGCCATTACGCAAAAACGGGAAAACTTCTCCTCTATCGCAAAAACAAAAGAACGCAAATTAATTATTAACAGTTGTCTGCTTCTTACAATTGGGACAGAAATAAATGATGGTGGATCCTTCATCGGCACTTCTGGTTTGTATATTAATAAAATGCAAAAAGTCATTACCACAATCTGTGCACTTTTCATACGTAATATTATAGGCTTGATTTTGATCTTCCTTAAATAGGGAAACGTTTTTCTCAATGGAGGTGATTTTATTTTTCCAATAAGTTTTTTTATTTTTGTCGAATATATATTTTTCTCTGTAGGAATTTAATTCAATGTATTTTTCTTTTCCATCCCAGTGGTCATACATTTCTATGGTATCAATTATGGCTCCGCAATAAATACACTTGATGGAATTTTCATTATCAAATTGGGCATTTTCCATGACACCACTAAATGGGCTATGGAGGCTTTTTCCACTGAGGCAGTTACTGGTCTGCTTAAATTTTGAAGCATTAAAACGTTTCATATACATGTACATGTAATCGTCATGGTTGTACATGTAGCCACATTGTGTGCAATAATTTTTCTGTTCCTTTTGTATATTTTTCAGCATCAGTGACTGGTGGGTAATTTCCGTGGCGTTTTTTGCCAATCGTTCAATGTCAAAAAATTTCTTGCCAGTCATTACTTGGCACAGCTCGTCGTGCTCTATGCTTATTTTGTTCTTGTAGGATTGGATGAAGAAGTTGAGAATTTGTTCGTTGGTGACATCTTCATGTTCGAAGCGGACACTTTTTTTCTTTCTCGCTGTTATAGGTTGTTTCTTGGCCTCTTCCTTGAGTCTTTTCTTCTCCTCCTTTAGCCTTCGCCTTTCCTGCTTTCTTCTCTTCCTTTCTTCCTGCTCCTCCTCCTCATCGTGGCTATCTAGTTGGTGTTCCTCCATGTTGACTTCACCCCACTCGTCCATCTCATAACTGGGGTCGTCTACATCCGTGTGGGCGTCTTCCCCCTCCTGGTCGGCCTTGCTGTGTTTCCTCTTCTCCGAAATCATTCTTTCCGTTTATCGGATACTCAGTATGGGCTTGCAAAATGTGTGCCTTATGTGGTGTGGCTTTTTTCATGCTTTTTGGAGGTTCTTCCAAGTGCTCGGTGGGGTACTCCGTTCCGTGCGCCAGGGTCTATTATTGAGCATGCGCATGCGTAGGCATGTATATGCATATATTTTCGCGCATATATCTAAAACTATGCATTTTCATCGACTGACCCCCTTTCCTTCTCCTTCCTCTCTTCATCCATTCCCCTCTTGATCCCCTTTTTTTTTTTTTTGGTCTACAAATGAAGCCCCTTTCCGCAGGTACTTTCCATGTTTTTAAGTCGTGCGTGAGGGGGGCGGAAGCAACTTTTGACAAGCGGTGATTGTACGTTGCTATGTATTTACGTGAGGACGTATAATATGTACATATAGGTATACTTGTACGTTGACATATATTTGCCCTTCGCGGAATTGTACAAGAAAGGGGCAGATATGGGGGTGGCTTTTGTAGGCGACCGCTCCAAACAGGTCGGGCGAGGGGAAGTGTTTTTTTTTTCTCTCTCTACTTCGTAAATTTAGCAATTTTGACAAGATTAACAAAATTGAAAAAATGAAAACATGACAACATGGGCACCTCAAACACAGTGTATTATCGTATTAACAATTATATGGCAATTTTGGCCAGGCTGGAAAAAAGAAATAAAAAATGTGATGCGGCGTGGCATAGGGGCTACTTCGCAACGACGCCGCATATTTTTTATTTATATGAGTTTCGCGCCCCCCGCACCAGCGGTTCCATCTCTAAAGCGCGCGGAACGCAGATGATTTAACTGTCGGAGCATGCGCATGGCAAGGTGCGCATATTCACAATAGTCCGCTGAATCATCTACGCCTTGTCGCAGCTTTTTCTCCACAGAAAAGGCTATGCATTAAAATAAAATTTGTTTTTTTTTTTTTTTGGAGACCAGTCAATTTTTTTTGTTCCACTCGGGCAGTCCAACACCCTTTTTCTCTCGTCCAAGGCTTCGTCCACGCGCAAATATACCCTAACGAGTGCATGCAGTATATATTTTTTTTAACGTGTACCGCTAAAAGCGCTCAATTGGACATATTTGTGTTTTCTCGTATGTACGAATATCCGCGCGAAGGGTATTTTTTTAATTGTCGCTGATTTGTGCTACCAAAGAAGAATATAGGTGGCTTCTCTCACGTGTTGACAACAGAGTCCACCTTCGAGAAGGAACCATTCGGGAAGGCAGAAGCGGCTAAGAGGCGGTGTGACAAAGAGGCGAAGAAGCGAAGGCGATAACAACAGCTTGACCAAGTCTCCTCGCACAGACGTTACGCTTGCTGCAGGTTGGCACAACTTGTTCATTAGTGTCCTGCACTGGGACGAACATATTTATCTTTTCCCACCTAGATCAATATATCTCAGGAGGGGCAACAAAAAAAAAGGAAAATTAATTCACCTGTACGATTATGTGTGCCTATGTGCCTGCTTACCCGGACGCATATATCCTCGCCCCCCCCAACCATCCTTCTGCAAGAATTCCAAACATATGAATAACTCAGGAAGCACCGCCAATCACGTGGGCAGTATCAACAATGGCGGGTACGATGTCTTCGTTTTGATCTTTGCCTTTGTGTGGGGATTTGTAATTGGCCTTCTCTGCAAGTACCTGAACCAGATAAAGAAAAATGCGATCAGGATAAAGGAGGCTTGTGCGAACTTTGACTTGATATGCACAAGTGACTGCAAAATGGTGTTTTGCGTCAGGACAGGTAGGTGTTGCTTCGTGCCTCCGTGGGGGGTGTCTATACAGCCTGTGGTGCGCAGCAGGCACCCATTATGCTTATGCACATTCTTCTTATGCCCATTCTTCTTATGCCCATTTTGCTGCCCCTTCCCTTCCCACGAACAGACATCAAAATGAACAAGGGAAAGATCTGCTCGCAGTGTTGCCACGCCTGCTTAGCAGTGTATGAGAAAATTATGAAACGAAATAGCAAGCTGAAGGCGAGCGAAAGTGGGAAAGGAACCCTCACCTATTTTGACCTGTGGAAAAAGACGGGACAGAAAAAGATTGTCCTCAAAATATCGGTAATGAGTGAGAGAGGAGTTGCTCTTTTCCTCCATTTGGCTCTGTTAAAAAAAAAAAGCCATTTGCTTATCTTCTTACTCCCTCCCCCTCCTTATGCTTACAATTTCTACCCAACAACCCCCCGCAGAGCTTGGAGGAAATGTACGAAATTGAACAAAAGGCCAAGAAGGAACACCTCATAACGTCTATAATAATCGACGCGGTAAGATGAGCGTGTAGCATATTATGCCCCATACGTGACTTGTGCGTGGCGTGAATACCTCCTGCCCATCTGTCTGCCTTTTTCTCGTTTCCCTCTTCTCCTCAGGGCCGGACACAAATCGAGCCGAACACGGAAACGGTCATAGCCATCGAGCCAGGTAATTAAAAAAATAACAAAAAAAAAAAAAAATAGGAAAAAAAGAAGGAATAAAATGGACCCAATAAAATAAAAGGATTTTTCTTCCGCACAACAACGATGTGCGTGATGGCGTCTTATCCTACTCTTTTCCCATTTCAAGACGGTTTTTTCCATTACTTTTTTTTTTTTTGTTTTTTTCCAGTGCCTGACGAAATTGTTAACAAGATAACGGGGCAGCTGAAGCTGCTTTAACGGAATTACGGCCACTGTAATTATTATGTGAAGAAGCGTTGTGGTGTTTTCCTCATGGAGAATGTTGTTTGGGTGGATTAACGCATTTTGATCCGTCGCCAAACGGGATGGCGATGACGGGTACACGTTTATTAGCAGATCGTTTGGAAGATGACGTTACATTTACATACACGCATACGTAAGGTGTGTGCGTTTCACCCCCCTTGCATTTATGTTTGCCCCTAAAGTGCAAATAGGGCCTCTTTGTATCGTGCGAGTGGTTCGCATATTGGTTAAGTTGAATTGAGGGCAGACGAAACAGGTAGTTAGCGGTGTGTGCATGCACGAGTTTGTGCGCGGACACGCGTGTGCAATTTTGTTTTTTTTTTTCTCCGTCAAGGGGCACAATCCCATCATGCAAGCATCGATACTCGCCCATTTGGAGTGCTACTTGTTACCCATTTCTGTAAGAGTAATAAATCGGGGCGGTCAATTGATTACATAATATGTCTTTAATATCGGTGGGTGGCCCCTGATGCCGCGTTTGGTCTACTCCCCTCTTGTCGTTAACTTCGTTTTGTAAATGATCTCTCTTTTGAATTGCATTCCCCCCGTTGACATGGGCGAGGGATGCACTATTCTTAGCATGGGGAGAAGAGTATCCCCCCTGCTTCTTGGCTGTAAGTATGTAGATACTACCAGCATTTTTTATTAACTTAAAAATGACGTTGAAATTATTATTTTTTAAAATCTGTAAAGGGCACCTATTTTCATAGTATCCAAATTCCCAGGGAATTCTTTTATTAGGATATAGATTTAGCTTTTTCAGAATATACCTAATAATTTTGTTATAAATAATGCCTCTCTCGATTAAGTAGAATCTGCCATCTGGTTTCAACGCTTGGTGGACTTGCTCTAAGCTTTGGTCCACATGCTCCAGTGAACATAAGGTGAAGGACGAAATGACAGAATCGAACACATTGGGCTGAAAGAGACAATTTTTTATATCATCATTTATAATATATACAGGATAGGACGGTTTTATTTTTTCCAATTTTTTTTTCATTTCTTCACACATTTTTTCACTTTTTTCTACGCATACTAAGGTGTCCACTTTTTTTAAAAATGAGAAATTCCTTCCTGACCCGGCCCCTATTTCTAGGACAACTCCTTTCACTTTTCGAAAGTTCCTTTTTTTATATTTGTTTATGGAGGTCACTTTTTCTATGAAGTCATTTTTTTCGTCATAACTTTTGGCTAGCTCATCGAAGGTTTTAATTCTGAAACTTTCGCTGGGTTCTTCTAGTGTGTCGTCGTTTGCGGGTCTGTTCTTTTTGTAAATGTAAAAGCAGCCCGCTATTACACCCCCGTTCGCGGCAGTCACTCCGACGAGCACCTAAAAAGAAATAATAATAAAAAAAAAAAAAATGTTTGGAATTTTTCTCGCACGGTACACTGCCCATGGGATATTTTCCTTTCACTAGTGGGACACTGCTGGATGGGTCAAAATGTGGAGGCAGACCTGCCCACATGGTAGGCCACATCATGTGCGAACCCAGGCCTAACCTTTTTAAACGAAGAAAAGGTAAACATGATGTTCTTTTTCGATTTGGAAATAAACTGATACTGTAATGAGAATGGGTACAGAAAAACCCATGGGGGGGGCGCCAATTGGCGGGAAATCACATTCCAGAGGTGTGCCCCTTTACAGTGGACGCATTGTTCTTATCAGATGCGAGAAGTCGTGTTTCCACATTCCATTTCACTCAATGGGGTGGAGAGGTGACGCGACCTCAATATATACATATCATAGTGGAGGTAATCTACGTGTTACATGTTAATCCTGCTCACAGTGTCCCTGGATGAGGATGCAGCAGGGTTGCCACAACGGGCGAAACACAGGTGGGTCAGAGTTCCATACTCTGGCTCTTTTGCAACGCCTTTTGTGGACTGCGACGTGTTGTTAAAAATGGTGTTTTTGCCGACATTTTGCGCATTTTTTTTTTTTTTTTCCTCCTGCTTTATGCCGCATACATTTTGGAATTGTCCGCACCGCCTCCACAACGGCGACCCATTTTGAAGCCCCCATTTATACATCCATGTCAACCCATTGCAGTAGTTTTTTTACGCCATGCCTTTTTTTTTTAACAAGGGTAAAAAAATGATATACATTATGTTGTGAAGATTGATGAAGAAAAAGCCATTGCGAAGAGTGAACCCCACGAGCTTTGGCACATTTTTACCCACGTTACTGCCAAGGAGAAAAAGAAGATTTTTTTTTTTTTACTTTCTCAGGAAATTTTTTAGAAAACATCTGAAGAGGGGAAAGTATGAGAAAAAAAAAATGCCCAACATTTTGGACATGTATAATAAAGGATTTAAAAAAAAAGAAAAAAAAAAAAATCACCAAGCAGTGAAGAAGGAAATTGGGCCAAAGGAACACCACACAGGGGAGAGTATAATATTATACACCCGTAGGAAAGCAGAAATTGCAAAGTGGAAAAATCGGGGGTGGTATGATGCGCGATGCGCAAATGCCAAACGACCTGGGAAATGGGGCACAGTCCAAGATAAGTGGAAAAAACCAGCTGGACCGTATTGTACGGAAAGAAATAGGAAAGTGGGTGCTGCTGCACAGGTTTATTCATAAGTATGATCGGCTCGCGGGCAAAAAATCAAGTGTGAGGGAGAAAATGGCGAAGCAGAATGATCATCCAAGCGAACACCCATCTGATCAGCCAACTGATCCACCGCATGAACAACCAACCGGTAAACCAACCGAACAACCAACTGGTCACACAAACGTGTTTAACCTCTTATATCGCCCGACGGGAACGCATCAAATGCACAATGGATTCTGGCATACCATAACACCAGAACAAAGCAGCCCTCCAAGGGCATTCACCCCTACCCCCTGGAATCAAAAAAGGTCTTGCACCGGACCCTCTGGGGTATACTTGCACGAATGCCCACCAAAGGTTACTGTACATGATGCCGTACAAAATTTGCCTTCACAAAATAACCTATTGGAAGAGACTAAGTTTAAAGAAGATTCAAACGAATTACTTTGTGATTCCTCACCCAGTACAAACAAAGTCAAAAGGAAGGTAATAAAAAAACATGGAATTAGCAAAGACGCAACTAAGGCTATCATATCCAGGTGTATCGACATAAAGAGTTATATTGTCCAACACAAAAACAGCTTCAAAAATATGTTAATCAATTTGTTCAACGAGTACATGTTCCTGAGGAGGTACATGAACAGCAACTACCACACATATCATAAGTTAAAATTCTTCCTTAGCTGCAACCATTATGTGAAGAAGTTACATGACGTTCTGTCGATTTTTGCTGACGTTGTGGAGGAGAGTGACGAATACTTAATGATAGAATTGTACAAGAAAATAAAAATGAACATTCGTCTGCTGTACTATGTCGGGAGAATTTTATCCAACTATCTCACCTGCATTGCTTATAAAAAAATGGCATACGTAATTATGATTTGTATTTCTCGAGTACACACCATTTTTAAATGTATGCTCATATCGGAACCGTTTAAGAGTGGCGTTCCGGAGTTGATGAAGATGATTAAGTACGATGTAGCCTGAAAAATGGCCAAGTGCCTCATTTGGGGGTCCCCCTCCCCATATATTTATTTGTGTTCCTCCACATTGGGGCGTAATGCTGACAGTTAAGTTTGCTACTTTCGAGCAGTTATGCTTCTTTTTTTTTTTTTCGTATGTGTCTTTCACTTTTTTAGTACCATTTGTGCATGTCACCAAATTTACCCAAACAGCGGAGATGGAAACATTTTTATTTTCGCATGACCCTTAAAAAAAGTTGCGCTGCGCGTTGTGGCGCTAGTGTGTTAATTAGCGGTTGTGCCATTGGGCCGATGTGGCAACTGCCGAATGGTGTTTCTTTAAACAACGTGGTATCCACCCGCCAAAAACGACAATGATGGGAAGCAACAAAGGGTGGTATGCCAAGGGGCAACCCGTTCCTACACACACATCAAACGAAACATATCATGTGCGTAATTCCTACCATACAATGAAATAGTCCTCTTTAGTTATCTCCCTCGTCTGTTCTCGCAAAAAGTTAGGCAATCGAAATAAATAGCAATACCCACCGCCGACGCGGTAATTGGCAAGACTTTGAAATGGATAAAACTGTTTGAGGATTTTTTTTTTTTTTTTTTTCTAGCTAGCCAAAATGTCCAACAATGTTATCAAACTTTCTGAACGTTCATAATTTTTTTGTTTTCTCTGCACATTTAATTTGTGCGTGTGTGCTTTTTTTTATTTTTTGCTACTAGCTATTTCGTTGTTTTGCTGCTCTATAGTATGTTATTTTACTTTTTTTTTTTTTAATTTATTTTACTTTATATTTTCCTTGCTATTTTTATTTTCACCTTTGCACTTAAATTAACAGACGATTTACTCATACCTCCTTCGGAAAAGCAATCACCCAGAACAGTTCTCGTAATCGCGTCTACAAACATCCTAACCATGATTTCTGAGTAAGCGCGGCGACGAGAAAAAAGGGGAAATTAAGTACTCAACAGGCGAACGAACGGTGCGAACCTTTTTGACCTATTAATGCCAAGCTTATTTATTCGTTACCTTAAAATCATCCTCTTTTTTTTGTTTTCTTTACAGTGAAGACTCGCCCTTCCTAATTGAAAACATCCAAAGTATATCGAACCGTTTAAAGCCAATTCATTGCAGCGTTTTATGTCACATTTGTGTAGCACGCCACAATCGTGCCTTTCAGTCACATATTCTATTCGCACGTTTCACTTTTTCTCACATAGGCATACTGAAGAGGGGAAACACAAAAGTGAGCAACTTTTGGAAGCACTTTTTTTTTTTTTTTTTTACTTTCCCCATAAAGCGATGACACGCGCACTTGCATTTTTATTTATAGGTCGTCCACGATAAAAGGAAGAAGTACGTTGACGATGTCTTTGATTTAGCGCTTAGCAACTTGCGCTCAGGAATGCGAAAAATAGGAACGTCGCAAGAAATAGACATTAACACAGTGTCAACAAGGGTACAAAATCGTGAACACTACCTCGAAAGCGAATCATTAACCCTTTCGAACGAGTTCTCGTCAGACGTGGGCAGCACCACACAAGAAAGTGAAGGACATAATGAGTGTGCCTTTTGCTACAACGACAATTACGATTCGGAAAATTTTGATGATGAAGAACATTTTGAGTGTTCCCCTGGATTTAGGAACCACGAAGATATTAGAGTCTTCAATGAGAATGTTAAGAGGAAGTTCTTTAATGATTTAGTCGACTATTACAATATACAAAAATTAGAACAATTTGATGAGAACTACAATTGTGGACAATCAGCTTATTCATGTGAGGTACGTTAGATGGGCAGAAGTGTCAGCACGCGGCGTCTAGCGACAGGGAGGGTATACTCCGTTGTGCTGCATTCTTTATGTACGTACTGCTGTCATGCATGTATTTCTGTGATTCCGCTTGAACATGATGATATGCTCCCAACGGGTGCTTCAATAGGCAATTAAACTCGTTAATGTATCTTCATGAGAATAGTCATATGAGCAAGAAACACACAAACTGTTCAAAATGTGGACTTTTTTTTTTTTCAGGATTTTGAACTAAGCCAGAATCACAGCGGATGTGAAAACACTCCAACATGTGCATCTCCAAGTAATTACTTAAAAATGCATACGTCTCTCATATTTAAAATGCTGCTTTATTTTATTTTATTTTTTTTTCCCCATTAATTGTAAAATTATTTATACACTTGTGTACAATTTTGCCTAGCAGGTTTCGAGAAAAATGTGTTGGATAACTCGCCCGTGGGAGCAAAACATGTTGCAGCAGGTTGGGGAAGTCAGATAAAGCACCTTAAGCATAGTGTAGGGGGTAAGACACAACACTCCCTCCTTACCAGTGATAAAAAATGTATGCAGAGAACAGGTGCCTCCAAACATAATACTGATGGGAGGGTCACGCCACAGCCAATTCCTGCTAATGGAATGATAAAAACGAAGCAGGAAATTATAGACAATACGTTTATTACACTCTTGGAAGAAAAGTCTACTGCCACTCACGACAAGCAATTCGCAACGCTCCTGCCAAATTGCGGAGGCATAGAACCCGATTCAGAAGGAGGAGAAAGAAAGAGTACGCACAAAGGGAATAATAAGCGTAATGTACATAGGGAAAAGACGAAGAGGGGAAAGAAAGGACTCGAACGTTGTAACGATTTAACGAATGGCACGATTGAAGCAGCTCCTTTCCAGCCCACTGATGATGATAAATCGAAATGCACAAATGGGGGAGACTTTACAAAATGTCCTGCAAAAATATGGTGTAGTGAAAAATGTGCTAATGTACCAAAATTGGATTTGGAACTTGCGCTGACTTTACCCAATAGGGCTGAAGATTTGCGCGACATTATCGATAAAGGAGGTGTTGCTATGAATGGCAACGTTTATAGGAAAAAAACGGGAAGGAGGATAAACACAAATAAAAATCATAACCACTTAGGAAGAGATGCCAGTGAGCTCTCCAGATTTACACTATCGTGCGATGAGAAGAGGAGCAATGTGATTCTTCAAATTAGTGGTTCTAGTAGATTAGATCATTCGAGCCTAAATGAAAAGAGAAAAAAGGGGAACATCTCACCACACGAACCAGAATTAGACAGTAGTGAAACAAATACTCTTTTAAGCGTGGAACGTAAGAAGGACTCCAAACTGATTAGGAAGCGTATTTGTAAAAGTTCAATAATTCATTCGCCCAGAGAGCGCCTCAGTAGAAATCAACAGAGTAGTGAAAATATAGCGCACGAAAGAGAAACGTCTGATTCGAGTAATGGGATAGAAAAAAGGAGGACATTTATCGAGCATTCGAGGAGGAAGACAGTATACAACGGGGAGGAGAGGAAAAAGCGATTAAGGAAAAATGAAGCAAAACTGAAGAAAGGTACTACGGATTCTTTCGATACGGGGAAAGGACAAAACTTGACTCATGAAAAGAAAAAAGTGGATAGTGAAAAATGGGAAAATAAATCGAACAGTGGCAGATTCGAGGGAGACTCTGTAGAAGGGGAGATTCTGCAGAAGAATAAAACAAATGGAAAATTGTCGCTACTGAAAAGGAGTGAGCAGTACCTATGTTATGTGAAAAGTAGAGGAAAGAAAATAAAGACAGGAGAATATAAAGGGGTTCAGATAAGCTCTGTAGAGTCCTCAAAATGTAACACGGTCGAAAGTAGTAAAAGCACTGATTTGAGGTCAAATTACGAGGGACATCGCGGACATGCTAGAAAAAAGAATGACGAAGAGGTACTAGAAGAGAGACCTTTAGAGATGTTCAGGTTGTCCAAGAAACGCCTTCATTTTTGCAAAGGGGAAGGAGATGAAGAGAAACTTAAATTGTACGCAAAGCATCCTTCTGATGAAAAAGTAGTGTATGACCAAAAGGGAGAATATTTTTTTAGCGACAAATGCAGGGAGATACATACAAATATGGCAGACGAGAATTTGAACAATGGTATCAGTCCAGACATGATGTATAAAACACTTCTTGGGGGAGAAGCGGATAATCAGTACGCCAGAAAAGGAGAAGATTCGAAGGAAGACTATTCCTATGAAGCCCTAGAAGAAGTTTCCAAAAATGGAGCGCATAACTTCTACTGTCGAAAGAGCAGATACACCATTTTAGGGGGTAATAACATACGACTTAGCGGCGTAGGTGACGGGGGGGAGCAGAACAGTAGAGCAGATTTGTCCAATTCGGTGAGGTCTTCTTCCCGCATTGATTACTTCAGCGGGGGTGAGCACTACTCAGGTTTCGGCGAGGTGGAAGAGCACTGTGATGGCCAGAATGACGACAAGTATCACTTTCCATTTTGCGACGAAATGTATGAAGATGGGAAATTTGCAGAAGAGGTCGACCTCCCCAGGGGGGACTCTGTCCTGGGAAGCGGCAAGGATGACCTCTATTTAGCTTTTCAAGAATCAACACCCAGGGGGTACAAGTCACTCCCAGAAGAGTTACTACACCGTAAGCTGCCTCCTAGCAACGTACAGAGCGAACTTAAAGACGAAACACATTTGAGAAGACGCGAATATGTTCAGGGGCAGATTTGCAGAATATTGAAAAAGGAAAACTGGGACGGTGAAGCCGAAAGTATGTTAAACCTGTTCTTCAGGTACGTGAAGGTAGAGGGAAGATGCGGTAAAAATGGCAACACACTGATTCGGAAGGACATAAAAAGGGATAGAAAGGGAGGAAGTGGGAGAAGGGGAAACAAAATGGGGGTAAGGAAACAGAAGCAACAGAATTCAGACTTAGGAAGGGAGGAAAATGGGGGTGTAGATAAATTGAAAAGGGTCTATTTGGATGATGCCCCAAGGAGCCTGCCGCTAACCATGCTAATAGTAAGAAACTATGAGGAGGGGAATTTTCATCATCCTCATCAGCAGCAGAGGATGGACAGGAACGATGGGGGTGCGAAGGAAAAGGTAAGCGTAAGGTACAAAGTCGAGTTGACAGGTGTGAGAAATCCTATGGGGATAAAGAAAGCAGTTGGGAAGGAAAAAAAACTGTTTTCAAGGATAGAAAGGATATATGATTTTTGTGCTTTAGATGGAGACGCGTGTGGAGAACAGTGTCACAATAACCTCATGGACAGGTTTATTCCATTTCCTAACATGGGGTGGAGTTGTTCCAAGGAGAGCTATCAACATGACGTGATAAATGTTCACTCCGCGTGGGCTCAGGAAAGGGAACGCGTCTTGTTCTATGATGAGCGAGAGAATCTCAATAATGTGCACAGGAGCCAAATGGGCGAAAAAGACCTCATGCTTGATGGTGCCCTTTTGAAAATTCCGCAAAAGGAGGGAACTAACGAGGCTACTAAATTTGAAAATAGATCCCCTTTTGCTAAATGGAATGTTAATATGTGTACCAAATCGATAAAGCAGCCTGCGGGAAAAAACGCTCTTGTGACAAAGGGTCCCAAGGGTGTAGCTATCCATTTGGACAGAAAGGGCGCTCTAAAATATTCCTTTAGGAAAGGCGTACCTATTGTAGGTGCAAGGGGGGAAGGAAGAGCACTCCGAATTGGCAGTTTTAAAAAATCCCCCCTCTCAGCAAAATCTGCATTGGAAGGCAGTTATCCAAAGAGAACAGAAGTTACATTGGGAAGGGGGCATCATGTGACAAATTTTAAAGAGTACCTCATAGAAATGAGAAAAACACGGGAAGGTAACAAAACAGAGGAGCCTCTTCCAAAGGATGGACAGAAAAGGGAGGAATTAAGACACGCACAAGGAGTGTCTCCTTTATCAAGTTCTATCTTAAAAATGGTAGATGATAAGAAAGAGGATAAGATTATTACAAACAGTTTTCTTCCTCCAACGGGGGTAGAAGCAGAAGTGGTTAAGGCAGAAATTTGGGACCGTCCAAAAGGTGAAGTTGGTTCGTATAGGCAGTTAAAAAGTTCTTCAGGACATGTCTTTAAAAGGGGAGGAAGTGAGGGACACGAGGACGTCAAACTGTTGAGTGAACCCCTGAGGGATGTGTTGGACCCGCTGAGCAGTGCGCATAATGGTTCCCAAAATTGTCAGCATGACCCGGTGGAGACAAAAGAGACAGTTACATTTTACAAAAGTAACATCATTAGGGGGACAAAAGGACATAAGGAAGGAGACGGAAAAGGAGCCGCTAAAACATGTGAAGATTCACATGCGGGGAAGAACAATCGGGATGGTGATCATCCGCGTAGGAGCTTTAACACGGATAAACAAAGCAGCAAAGCAATTGAGAATGGCGCCCAAGGTCTGGATGGTAACTCATCGGGGAAATCTCCGCGAAGTGTAGAAAAACCCTCCTCTAATGAAAGGAAGGAAACCACTAAAACGTTGCATGCAGAGGGGACAAGCAAGAACGGGTTAAGTCCTCCATCTAAGGATGGAAAAAGAAAACAGGAAGGAGACGGAAGCAATAACAGTAGAAGTGAGAGGTTGGTTGAAAAGTTTCACCCTAGTGTGATAGAACGATTCTACGAGTCTGCAAAGCGTAGCAAGGTGGGAAAGGATGAAGCGGCCGAAAGCGGTTTAGAACAAGAAGCGGATACGCTTAACAAGGAAGGATCACCTCGAAAAATACATATGTCAATTGAGGTAGCATCCCCAAGGAAAAACAGTCATAGACGCAAGGGTTCTCTCAAAGGAGGGAAGAGTATATCACACTTTGTGAGCAAGCATGGGAAGGGAGAAAAGAAGCAGGATTGTGCTGTGGACCCATCAACAGAGAACAAAATTTCCAGGGGTAGGGATGACAAGGCGAAGACTGCAAAAGGATTTAGTAAGAAGAGCGAATTTTATAATTTTACCAATTGGGGGGAAAATGTCGAGGAAAATATTTCTTCCCTAATGGTAGAAGAAGAGGGGGATATTTTAACGTCTGATGAAGGAAGGAGCCCCTCATGTGTGAGCAATACAAATGAAATAAGCTTGACAGTCTCCCCCCACGGGAGGGACCATACGTTTAATGCTCCTAAGACGGAAGGCAATCACGAGGGGAATAACGGCCAGCGCACAACGAACCTGGTGAAGCGCCGAAAAAGCAATCGTGTGGGTCGAAGGGGAGGAAAAGCATCTCCCCGCGCAATGGGCTCCTTTCCACACAAAATGACACAAAGCGAAATGGACAAACCAGTTTTAAAAAATGAAAAAGCGATGGCAAGAAATTCAAACTATGTAGATTTAAGACATATTGAATGCTCCAAGAGCACCCTCGAATTTCTTCTGGAAAAAAAATATCTCAAAAGAAATAGTGCAGGTGAAGGAACGGATGGTACTGAAGGGCAGAAGAAAAAAAAAGAAAAAAGAAAAAAAGACCTTTCACTTGTTTGTAACAAGAGCGAGGGGCGGGAGTTGTCTAAACGGTTTACGATGAGTAGACGAAAAAATGAAAAAAAAATGTCCAACAGGAAGATCGCAAATCGGGATGAGGTACCAGCAACAGATCAGTTCTCAAATCTGAGTAACACTGAGGGCGGCAAAAAGGGGCCCTCTGTCCGTTGGCCGCGAAAATTGTTTATTGAAGAAGGGAGGAAAAAAAAAGAAGAAAAGAAGGTTTGCCCACCACCATCGGTGTCATCATCAGGAGCACCATCATCACGAAGATCAGGCACCAGAACAGCAGCAACACCCGTCGCAAACCTCACGCGGGGTGCACAAAAAAAGGAGGCATTAAATTTTGCGCAAATCAAGTCAGCACACACATCGCGCATGTTGCGTTTAAATGAGAAAACAGAAGCAACGCCTTTTGAGAATCACCTCTTGACACACAAAAAGGACGAAACAAAACTTAAAAGACCAAGTCACGTCCACTCGAACGAAAGCAGCCTTAGTTATAGGCTAGCAAACGTTGTTCGAATTAAGCGAAAAATTTATTTGAGTGACATCGACGTGGAACATTCGCCAGGTATGGATTCCAGGGGGCGAGAAGACGCGGGAACTAGTTGCACAGGTCAGGAGGAGGAAACGCAGTCAGAAAGGGGGGTAGGTGAGCAGATCGGTCGAACGGGGGACCACAAAAGTGACCAACCAACGGGTCCACAAATTGACAACCACGAACATGGAGGTAAAATTGCCACGACCCTCTCTAAAGCTACCGCGAAGAAGGCCAAGCACACAGACCATTTGTTAACCATTAAAGTTAATATCATCACGGTCTTCCTACACAGCTCGTATGTTAAAAGAATTAACATGAATGTAGGTTACAATATACAGGTGACCATTTATTCATCCAGTGATAGAAAGACTATCGAAAAGAATTGCAGGAAGGAGACTTTCCCATGCTACTTCACATCGCACACCAGCGGCATAGGCTTAAGCTCTGACGCGTTCAAGAAGATTGACGTAAGTGTGTGTGGGGGTCCCTCTACGGGGTGCGATGATAAACGATATGGCAGTCGTGTAACGACCGTATTGATTAAGATCACATGGTGTGCCACGCCTGCATAGTATGCGTATCCAGTACATGTTCGAATCAACCCATACAGTCGTGTCCTTTGAGAGAGACTGTTACATGGATGGCGGCCTCTCTGCATTTTTTTTTTTTTTTTTTTTTTTTTTTTTTTTAACTCCATTCAGGCAATGTGTGAAAGCGAGTCGAGGCAGTTCTTCAAACTGGTTGTATCTTGTCGTCGGGAGAGGTCCTTCCTCAAAAAGGAGCTCATACGAATTTACAGCAGGATATTTGAGGCGGTACTACCAAGAGAGCCCGATGACACAGGGCGGACACACTTGGGGTATCCCCTAGATATCCTTGCGAGCGAAGTCGTACACATGTTGCCTAGTTAGAATGAGCCTCACTTTGTCCCTCTCGTCATCTGCGCATCTGCCTTTCATTCTTCGAACTCCCTCCCCTCCCCCCACATCTTTTCGCAGCCCATAGAATTGAAAACCTACTCCCTGAGTAAAAACAAAAAGTATGCCTCCGAAACGGGGAGCTCAAACGATGACCTCTACGAGATGAATGGTAATGAGGGCGGAAACACGCGTAGAAACGCATGTTTGGCATAAGCATGCGGAAAAAAACAGGGGGTGGCAGAGCACATGGCACTGTGGCAGAACAAGAAGCTAACCAGAAGAGAAAAATATAAAAATAAATTAACACCTACAAAAGTATACTCCAACATTGGGTAACTACATTCGTCCCCTTTTTTAGGTAACATCATCATGGGCACCTTGTAGGGGAATCGTTAGAAGGATTGCAGTGGTGTGTTCGCTCCTGCAGGATGTGCCCCCTTTTACACTACCCTTGTACAGTTAGGGTATTTGCACAAGGAGAGCTGTCTGGTAGGCTGCTTATAAACTTTTGCGTGTAATAAAACACCTGCCACATGTGCTGCGTAAAAACGAATTGGCTAAAAGCGCTTGTTTGACATTCACGCACGGGCAACATAGTTTTCATCTCCGTTTGCCCCATTGTGTGGGGATCCGCCTAATTTTGAGCGAAGATGGCGAAGCGTTGCAGAATTTTTTTTTTTTTTTTTTCTTTTAAACGCGTATCACTGGGATGGAACTGCACCTATGGAATGGGTTCAACTCGATTGTGAGGTTCCCTTCAGAGAAGGAAGAACGGGGTGCGTTGGCAAGCTCATCAGTTAATTTGTTCGCGCGTTTGACTTGTTCGGTGTATATTATACGCATGTGTATGCATTTTTTTTTTCGTATTTTTGCGCCAATTCTGCTTCAGTTATATTTTTACCGAAGCTACTTCACCTGCGGTTCACTCTGCAGTACATGTTTGTTTCCGTTTTTGCGCGATTGGTGTGTTGGCCTTGTAGAAACGGGGGGCGTACCGTACCCATGCGCATACTCGCATTGGGTGCATACGTACATATGTGCACTTACACGCGAGGTAACTGTGCGGGGGTATGTACGAGCGTGTGTGAAGCATCTTGTTAACCGCCTAGCAGGACAAGCTGCTTAAGGGCACACCCCAAAAGAACGCATGACGCCACGACACCGCTGGTAAAAAAAAATGAACAACCTAAAGCTAATTAGTAAACCAGCAACCTTCTTCATGAAGAGCGCGAAAAGGCACCACCTGAATTACAAACTATATTTGAAGTATAAACAATGGAATTTTCTGAAGAAGGAAATTGTTGATTACTTCAATGCGCATAGTACAGTAAGCACGGTGGTGGATGTGCAGGGAAGACGTTGGGAGAAGTTTAAGAAGAAGGAGCTGCTCCAAGTGCATGGGTATATTCCTGCCATCATTTGGAAGTACGGCCCGGAGCAGCGGATTTGTATCGACCACAAGTTGATTGATGAGTACGCCTTCGAGGAGGAGGACGGCCACCTGTCTTTGCGTAATGCCACAAACAGCGAAAAAAATAAAATAAAAATAATAAAATGAAAGGGAATGTATAGAGATACGTCCTCACCTACTATTCGTGCAAGTAGCTACCCCCTGATAACTACCCCTTTTCACCCCCCGTCCAGTATTCTCCGCGAGGCTGTTCAGAATTCACATCGATGGGGACGTCGTCGAGTGCGTCGTGTCACACGTTGAGACGGATCCGGGTGAGTCTAAATTGGGGTTGCTATTCACACGCTGGTGGGCGGATTGGCTCATTTGGCAATTAGCTAGTTGCGTCCCCACGGCATATAACACACACCATCAATAGCATGCCCCCCCTCTTCCCCTCTGAACAGTCGAGAAGCACATATACTTCCTCAAATTTGCTAGAGTTGTTAAGAACCAAGTGACTGAGTTAAACATCCCATGTAGCGTCGTCGGTCTTATCGGCTGCCCTGCGTACGTCAATGGGTACCACGTGCAGCTGGCGATGAACTACATAAAATGCAAAGTGATAGGAAATCATATTCCTCCTCCTTTTCAAATTGACGTATCCAAGCTGACATACAGAGAGCCGTACAATTCGATTAAGTTGGGGGAGTTAACGGTACGCCAGAGGAGTGTTTGCGCGCGCGCGTACACTTGTGTTGGTATCGACTTCTACATGTTTTTGTGTGTGTCATGCTGGTACTGGTCGCAAGCCTATGCAGAATGGTAAAGACAGGCGAAGTGGCAAACCTACTAACGAACGAATTGCCCCGTTATTGCGCCCACCTCGCAGCACCTACTGCCCGACGACGGGAACGTAGTTTTTTCAGAAGAGTATGACTTAAATGTGACAGAAGTGGTGTGGACTTATGAGCCCGGCAAGGTAGGAGATAAACAGATCGGCAAAAGGAAAAAGACGCACACGAAATGGATCACAAGATCGCGTGTGATCAGAAGTGTTGAGGGGCGACTACTCTTCCCCCCTTAACACGCACAAACGGATAGCGATGCTTCTTTTGTATCCCTACAAAAAAAGGATGCATTTTTACGTAACAAAAAAATTTCTCCGCGCCCCTCATCTTCCTATCATTTGCAGATTCCGGAGACGCCACTGCCAGAGGATTACATAGACCCGAACTTTGTGAACAAGAAGGGGAAGCGCATTCAGCTAACGTACAAGGACTACTGGCCGAAGCAGTAATACTGTGGTCAAGAGAATTCACCACAACTAGGGTCTTCATACCGCATCGTCAAACTGGATCCCTTTTGCTCCATTGTGGCTCCTCATTGGAGGAAAATAATTATCGAACTGCACTTGAGGCACTTGCGATTTTTCAGAATGGTTCCTGCGAAAAAAAAAAAAAAAAAAACACACAACAGGTCACATGGGAAGAGACGACATTGACACTGCACCTGTCTCTCATTTCGCGACGATAGGGCCACATGGCGACGAGACGGCCCAGAGATTCCCCGTCCCAATTTTACCGATGCTGTTTTTGCTTCCGCAAATGGAGCAGAGGATGAAAAACTTGTTCACGTTTTTTTCAGAGCTGAGTTTAGATAATTGCTTTTCCAGAGTGACGATTAAATCGTGCAGGGTGTTCATCTGTTTGGGGGGGGGAAGGGAGAAAAGCACATGCACCCGATTTTTGTAATCCCTTGCGTGTGGATATATTTGTGTGTCTGGGGTGCACCTATGCATGTGATTGTGCTGTGTGTGGTCCCATGGTCCCATTCCCGCATGTCAGTTCTTACCTGCTCTTCATATTTTTTGTGAATATTTATTTCTTCCTCCTATGTGTGTGTGTGTGGGGGATTTCAATTTCGTATGCAGAGAAATGTTAATCATGGAGAGTGCCCCCGCAGACGTAGTATAACTTCGCGGGGATGTACACATTTGTGTGAATGGAAAAATGAGCAATTCCTTTTTCGCTTCCCTTTTGCATCCTGATGCATGCGGTGAAATTGTATTACCTTGTACGCCTCTATTTGGAGGTTCAGTTTTTGTATTTCGTCCTCCTTAACGCTGAACCCATTTTGTAGGCTTTCCAGAACCTATACGGAAGGAAGGAGGGGAGTGGAGGCGCTCTCATGTGTAGAGGTTCGCAGTTATGTGCGCAATTTTGCGCAGAGGTGCACTTATGCAAGCGGATAAAAGTTGCCGCCTCACCTCTACATGCTTCCGTATTTCCATGTGTAAGTTTTTTATACGTATGCATGAGGAGACGTAGGCCTCGATGAGCTGTTTCTCGTGAACAGTTAATCCTGGCTTGTCTGAGTTGCTATACGTGACAAAGTTAAAGACCATCTCAGCATATTTCTGGATGTCCTCATCGGTTGTGTGTTCCTCCCCAGCGTGGTTGATGGTTTCCCGTTTTGGGGTCAAGCAGTTGGCCAGGCACTGGTTGTTTAGGGTCAGTTCCTTGTTGGTCAGCAGCACGTTCTTAAGTTCGCCAAGGGTCTGTGATGGGGGAAGGAGCGGTCGTGAAGTGGTCGTGAAGCGGTCATGAAGCGGTAATGACGTGGTGGAGTGCAAGGTGGGGGGCAGCTACCCCTCCTTTGCGCCCAACCTGGTTATTATTCTTCTTCAACTTTTTAATTAACTTTGTTTTTCGCAAGAGGGCCTTATTCAGTTGATCCTTGTCCTTCTTGCACATTTGGAGGTTCCCGAAGCTGCGTTCCAGCAGGGCGTAGGGGATATGCCTGGTTTGACTAAACGCCCCGTTGATCCTACTTAACAAATTACTTTCCTCTTCAAAGGCCATTCGGGTATTAAATCTTTGGTAAGACAGGAAGGCCATTAAGGGGAGGGACTGCTTTCCCACAGCATCGAACATTTCGAGATACTTAATGAGCGATTCTGTTGCGTCTAGCATTTCTGTCATTACCCTGGAGTTGTCTACATGGAGAATTTCCGATCCCTTCATTTCAAAAATGCGAAAGGAGAAGTAGGACTTTAAAAATTTTAATGCGTGACAAAAGTCTTCTAACAGGTTGTGGAATTTTTTCTCGAGATATGTAACCAATTTTTTATTTTTTTCTGAGCAATTTTTTAATTGTTCAAATGTTGACAGAGAGTTTTTTTCTCTTTCTTGGAGCAATTCTTTAAAATGGATTCCTCTCAACTTTGGCATTTGATCACTCCTGAGAGTGTCGTCTTCACTGCTTGGGAGACTCGTGTCTACTTCTTCGTAGTTCGCCTCCACATGGCACTGCTCTCCATTATTCGTCCTTTCTGATTTAACAATTCCGTCGACACGGTTAACTACATTTCTCTTTTTAAAGTGCTCTTCCACTATCCGTTCATTTTCGTATGGAGTAACAAACAAGATGAATTCAAAAAAGTGAATGGCTTTGAGCACAAGTCTCTTCAAGCTCCTCATTTCCAGAGTTACATTTTTCAGTGTAAAGGTTTTCGCTGTGGTGGATGTTGGGAAAAGGTATTCTTCGACACACAGGTAGACGCTCACGTTTAGGAAAATTTTTTTTACGGTACTGGACATGCTTCGCAGGAGGGACTGCAAAATGGCGGTGGTGTGATGAGAAGTGCGTATGGTGGGGAGGGGAAGCAAACGTGGTGCGGGGGAATGACGAACCCGTTGCAAGAATTACCTGAGCGTATGCCTTGTCTTGGCTCCCATTCAGCCATATCCCGAGGTCGTCTAACAGAGTGATCACTTCCCCTAGGTAGCTGACTTCCTTCGAAGGGTGATCATCACAAGGATTGGAATATGTACACATTATGTAGAAGTGAATAGGGTTGGGAGAGGTCCACCATCAGATGCACACTCCGAGGTGGGGGTAGTTGAGTATAAATTACCTTTTGGGAAATCTTCTTTAGGTCCGCAACCCTAGAATAGTTCACCTGGGCATCCTTTTTCTCTCCCTCCAATTTGTGACAAAAATCGATTAACTGGTTTGCTTGAGACGCAAACGTATTTTTGCACCTCAGAAGATACTCTTGCAACTTTTGTATTGCATTAAGGATGTGGCTTTGTAACAATTTGCAGTGCTGGTTAATTTGGCTCTGAAGGGAGGAATGTGCGGGGGGGCAGTTAGGAAGGTGTAACAGGGGTGAAACATTTGCAAGGGGTCCAACTGCGGGCGTGCATATGATTGTTCGTTTAAGCGCTCTCCTTTCCCACCTGCAGGTAACCATCATAATGGTCTGGTCTCGCCGAAAGCGGGATTTTATTAAAATTGATTTTATACTTTGGGTAGCACTTTCTCCTCATAGCTTTATATATTTTCTCCATTTTTTTTATGTGTTCATTTTTATTTTCTATAACACGGGCAAAATTTGTTTTGTCCTGTTCGACCTGTTTTCTGATTTTGTCTCTTTCCTGCTCCAACCTCATAACATTTTTGTTGGAGTTGGTAATAATGTCGTTAAGACTTTCAATGGTTTTTTCTTTTTCGTTTAGTTTATCCTTGTGGGAGGTCCTACACGCGTCCAGCTCCTTTCCTATCTCTTTATTCTCATTCTGCAGGTCCTCCACTTTTTTGTGAAGTATCTCTGAAGGGGGAGGGGTGCATAGAAAGAAGGACTTTGTTGTCTGTGCAGGCATCTGCAGAGTAGGCACCACCCCACTCGCAATGGTATGCATGATTCCACTAGAGCGTGGCTAACCATTTTCCTTTATTTTATTTTCTAGCTCCTCGAAGGCGACGGACTCTTGCATGTTTTCTCGTGAGTTTTTTGGCAGCAGCATTAAGTTGCGCCACGCGGAGTTTCCCTTCTTCTGCGGTTAGGGCGGTGTAATGGGCAAGCGGTGTAATGGGCAAGCGGTGTAATGGGTAAGCGGTGTAATGGGTAAGCGGTGTAATGGGCAAACGGGGTAATGGCGCGTGTTGGGTGTCCCCTACCTTATCCTCCAGAGAACTTGTCAGCTGCGCCACTTTGCTGGACAGCTGGCTGTTGCTACTCAACAAGTCGTTCTTCTCATTCACCATGCGATTAATTTTATCCTTCTGCTCCTCATTATCTTTTTCCAGCTGCTTAATGTCCTTTTTGTACTCCACGATGGCCTTCTTGAGGATGTCTAAATGGGCGAAAAAGGGGGGGATTAGCAGAAAGTGCGCAGCCACTACATCATAACGCTCGACGCAGAGCGGAGAGACAACCCGATGGCTTCCCCCCCAGCATGGTAGAACAACAGGCATTACCATTTTGCTCCTTTATCTCTTTATATTTTTCCTTAAACAGTTTGTATTTCTCCTCCACGTTCATTTTGCAGATGGCCAGGGGCACACAAGTTCGAACTTGGCAGAGTTAATGGAGGGGTCAGTGGCACTCCAAATGGCCAGTTTTACATGCACGGTGTGGTGCGTCATTAAAACGGGAGCGGTTAAAGTAGGTACTCAAAAAGGGGGGCATGTTCAAACGGAAAAAAAAAAAAAAAAAGAAAAGAAACAAAATCACAACTTAGTAACTTCACAATTTAGCAGCTTCTTAATTTCACAAAATTGTGACAAATGGAAAATTAACAACTTCGTCAGTTTATCGTTAACACACAAAAAAAAAAAAAAAAAAAAAAA